TCAAAGGGAACACACAAGCAGACATGTAAGCTCACTGGTGACCATGTTGCTCTACTTGTGAGTGGAAGTGGGGGAAAGGTAGTAATGAAGATCTAAGCTGAGTTCAACCACGTTCCAAAGACTCCTGTAGATTTTGACATGAAAAAGAAGAGGAAGGGCTGGTTGGTCTGAAGTTTGAGGAAACTTGGGAACTCTTGTGGACACTAGCCTAACCACAGAGGGCTAGAGCTGAGAGTGAAATAGCCAGCTGAAATGAAGTGGGGGGAGATGCACTAGAATGCCTAAACTTGCAGATAGTACCCATTTGACCTAGCTTCAATGGTTTGATGACCAGAACATGACTAGAGGAAGATAAATCAATTTGATAAAGGAAGCAAGTGTAAATTGCTACAATTTGATGAACTTGACCTATACTTATGAATGTAGTAGATCAAAACACCAACTGAGAGGGAAGGAGTCTTCACATGAAGTATCAATCCTATCCCCTCTGTATACAGGGTAGACAGGGGATGGGCAACTTAAGACATTGGCTACCTAAAATGAGAGGGCAATAAGGGCACGAAGTAAGTGGCTTATACGTTTTCAAGAGGGATTTTAGTTTAAGAGTGTGCAGGAGAAGGTATAGTCCCACTGAATCGTTTTCATCTTGTCTAGACGGATTTGGTGAAAAGAGATGGGGATAAGACTCTTATGGCCCAATAGTGAGTAACTGTTATCATGACCAATTGCAACTGTCACAACTTTAAAGGTAGAAGTTTTGTAACAAAATGTGGGGAGTAGTTAACCTTACATTCTAGTAACAGAGGACCCTAAGACCATCGAGATAGAAAGAGAGAGAGAGAAAGAGACAGAGAAAGAGAAGAGTGAGAGAGAGCAAGAGTGTGAAATGTGGGACCCTAACCCAGAGACCGAGGCAGAGATGATGGCATGGAGATAGAGCAGCTGAGGACTCTAGACTCATTGAAAGGGAAAGCCTGTGTGCTGGCGGGCAGGAGGCTACGTTGCAGAATGTGCCATGTGCCCTTTGGTTGTTTAAATGATTATATATTCCTTCAAGTTTTTGTGTACATAAAAATTTTTAAAATGAGGGCAAAGAAGCAAATACTGTTAAATGATGCTGCATGGAGGGCATTGTAATCATTGCAATGAAACAAAATACAACAGGTTAAGTGCAAAACTGTCTCCCATGTAAACTATCACTTGACTGACAATAATAGCTTTAAAAAGAAATAAATAATGGAATGCATGACTTTCTTCTAAAGGGAATTGCTAGTATTCTTCTTACAGAATGGAATTATCATACATTTAAAAACACACGGTAGCACTAGGCTCTAGTAAAAAGATTCTCTTTAAAATTTAACAACTACTTAAATCCAATTTCACTGTCAGCTGAAATACAGAAATTGTGTTGATTTTTCTAAGGAATTTTCTACTCAGTTAAACAAAATAGGAGAAATGATAACAGGTACCAAAGTAATAACTATCCAAGTATTCATCAGCATCAACTGGGCCATTCTTTTCTATTTCACATTGGGAGGATCTATGAAACTCAACTACAAATGAGAAAACACCCCAGGAAAATGAAATGTTATTTTTATATTTGCTTTAGTTTTCAGTGAAAAAACAAACAAACAACTAAACTATATTTTGATTAGAATAAAATAAAATATGCTAGTGTTATCAGAGCATTTGCAACTGGTAAATGAAGAACTATTCAATGGTGCTTAAAAGTTAAAACAATGTGGGCTAGAATGGTGGGAGTAATTAATTCTCTAACTAGTTCATAATTAGCATCTGTTTCAAGTTAAAAAAAAGATTATTACTCATATAAAAATCAAAATAAATTTAAAAGAAAATTCCTCTAGGGTGTTAGCTTTTTAACTAAAAATTTCACACAAATTACAATAATTAACACACAAATCTGTTTTTCAAGAGGAAACTGACCGTAGCATTTATATAATCTAGAAACTGCTATTTTAAGAATTAAAAATTTGTGACTGACATTATAAAAATTATGAAGATCCAAAGGAAAATAATAAAATCGACAGCAGAATGAATAGTGATCCTTAAAATTTTCAAGTGAAAGATTTCATACATTAATAAAAAATTCTGGAAAAACCTTTAAAGTGAACAAACATTTAATGTATTTTTCACTTTTTATATAATAAAGAAAACTTTAAGACAGGTCAAAAGTATAGAAGCTACTTTCTTGAACTTCTTATGAGCAAAAAGACAATTCATAAGGACATAAATCAGAGGTGAGCTCAATTTTAAAATCCTCTTTAAGAAGCCTAATATTAGCTCCAAAACAAGACCTCTAGAATGCATATCATGGAAATTAATACAGAATTTAGAATCTGACAACAGGAATTAATATGCACATCATAATGTAGATGAAAGGGAAATATGGCTGTTTTACTCCTTGTAAGAGGACACACAATATGGCTCGAGGTCACTGGCCCAATTCTACTGTCTTTCATGTGAGTCTTCCATTTCTCTTTTGGAATGTGTTCCCCTGGCAGCATGAGGTCTACTTTCATAAATATGACCTTTCTATACTTTTTTCTATATATGACTTTCATACAAGTCACACTTGCACACATTGTACATTTATATGCCTGTATTTTTATTTCATACCCCAATTTCAAAATCTTATGCTTCAGTGTATTCACTGAAATACATATTTGCAACTATAACCTATTAGGCCTGCCTTTCAAACACAGAAACTATTATTCTTATCTCCATAACAAGGTGAGTACTCAAATGCTTTAAGATTTTATTGCATTTTACTTACGCTATTTTATAAGACATTGGAAATCAGGAATATGAAAATGACATTAATAGATGTATTGTTGTTGTTAAGTGCCATCAAGTCAGTTCCAACTCATATTGACCCTATGTAGGGTTTCAAAGGAATAGCTGGTGGATTTGAACTGCTGACCTTGTGGTCCGCAGTCCAGTGCTGATCTAACAGTGCCACATCAGGAGTCCAATAATAGATGTGCTGTCGTTAAGTGCTGTAACATCTATTCTGACTCATAGCAAACCTGGATAGGGTTTCCAAGGAGCAGCTGATGGGTTTAAACTGCCGAGCTTGTGGTTTGCAATCCAGTGCTGATGCTACAGCGCCACTCCAGGAGTCCAAATAACAGATGTAGAGCTCATAGAGTGCATAACTCTAATGCAATTGAAACAAAGACTGAAGTTATCAGTCATGGCAAAAGGTGATGTGCACATTTTTAGCAACAAGTGGATACTTACTAGATCAAACAAGAAGCATATTATATGAAACATGAGTTACCATGAGGGATTTCATTCATATCTGACAGTTTTCTAGGAAATTACTCTTACAGCTTATAACATGCCAATCTGCTATTCAGCTTGTATTTATTCCACTTCTTTATATGATTTTAGGTTTACACATCTCCTACAATAGAGGACCAGATTTTCATGTACTCTAGATTCATCAAAAAGGTGATTTAAGTTAATTTTGCTATATGCCATCATTAACTTGGAGTCGTGGTGTGGCACTGTGGGTTAATGCGCTGGACTGCAAGGTCGGTTTGAACCTCAAGGTTGGCGGTTCAAGCTCACCAGCCACTCCTTGGAAACCCTATACAGGATTGCTGTGAGTCGGAATCGACTCCACAGCACTTAACAACAACATCATTAACATAATGAGTCACACCTGCAAGGAATATGGAATTACCTCATATAACAATTTTCTGCAACTCATCAAACATTTATTGGTTATGTTCTACGTGCTAGGTCAATGTTTCATTCTGAGACACACAACTGGTCTGACCTGCTGGGGACTCTGAAATCAGATTCTGACATCAGTGTCCACAGTCACCCTCACTAAAGTACATAAAGCAGAGACACAAAGGAACACAAGTGGCTGCCCCAAAGTAAGCCAGTACTTGAAACCTCAATCTCCTAACATCTCATTCAATGACCTTTCTCTTTTCATAAATCTTTCTTGTAGACTATGGGAGATAGAGGCATTTTAGGCACTGTTACCTGAACAGAAAAGGTAACTTTCTGTCAGGTATCCTTGGCTGAGGGCTCTCATATCTCAAGGTAGCCACTCATTCTTTTCACTTGTGGAAAAGAGCTTACAGTACATATTTTTTCACTTCACCAGTGTTAAATAATTTTATGTAATGAGGCAGGCATAGACACATTCCTGAAAGATCAGTTTCCACTAACCCTGACCTCTACCCCACCTAAACCTTCTCGTGTGAGCCTGCCTTTTCCATCCAATCCTGGATTTTCCTTCTGAGATCCTCCACTTTAAGCTTTGCAAAGCCACGCTTGATTTTTTCTTCTTTCTGATGCACTTTCTTCCTCGACTTTAAAATTGACCCTTTAGCTGTCTTTCTGACCCTGTGTAACACTTTCTTTTTCTTTTTGGAGATTTCACCCTGAAAGGGAAAAACAGGTTTGACTGACTGCTTTATAAGATAGCAAAACTGAGAGTCCCATTTTCTAGACCTAAGGAAAATTAACTTCATGATTTATTCAGCTATGAAATACAGAACAGTAAGCAAATAGAATGTACATAAACATGCAAAATCTGGGTATCCTGAATAATTTCTTCATAAGCACTAGTAAGGATCTTTGTAATTTTTTAGGTAGGATTACTATAGCGCATTATTAGAAAATTTGAGGAACATACATGTTTTTGCAAGAAATGCACATGTAATACTGGGGGCTTGTTAATGTCTATGACAGCTAGTAAGTTAATCTTCAGATTATCAACACATCCTGAGCTATCCCTTAAGAAACAGAGTAGGCAACCCATGAGAGTTACCATAGATGGGAAACTGCAGAAGAACCATCTACTTGATTTTTTCTGTAAGGGTATTAGAAGGTACTTACAAGTCTCCTAACACAAGCAATATGTTTTCTAAAAGGATAAACATAAAGTATTCAGGAATCTCTCCTACTTAATTCTCGAAGAACTTTAAAAAATCTTCTTAGTATCACAGTTCTCTCACCTTTCCATCAAAGCGTTTTATTATGTACTGATCCAGGCCCAAGTCTGTGTAAGAGAAGAAACAAACAGTCACTGAATACAGTGCAAGCAAAACATACAATGGCAACTTGACATGCTGTTTGCAACCATTCAATTAAATATACCAAATAATTTTGTTATAACATTTATCCAAGGGCCATAGCAATGAAACTTCTGTTCTACTTTTCACAATATACATTTTCAGAATGAAAAGATATCAATCTTATTGTTTTTTAAAACCTTGTTATTTAGAAAACTAAGGATCTGAGAGGGTAAAAGTTGCATGTGCAAATGTATTCAACTAGTTACAGTGGAGTCAAACTGGAATCCTGGACTCCTCCAGGAAGGTGCACACTTCATTACAATCAAGGTGCCTTGTTACCTCTAATTAAGGTTTAATCTGAATGGGTAATAATTTTTGTACCAAGTTGGAGAGAAACAAGTTCAACACCAAAACGAAATTACGCAACACATATAAACAGAATCAAAGAGACAATCTTGACATTTTCTTTGAACTTTGGGTTAAATAATACAAACTTACCTTGGGAACAATGAGCAGTGAGCTCTGGGTTCTATGAAAGCTATAAGTGAACATACGCAGCACCATGAGTGCCAGGGACTTTTAGTCTTTGCTCACTGCTGTATGTATCCCTAACACTGGAAACTGTGTTTAATAATATCTGTAAAACAATTAATGAATAAAAAACAGTTTCTGACTCGAGCCTTATTTAGTAGGAAAACTATACCGACATAATAATTAGCACCATAAGAGAGTCTACAATTCATTTAATAAGAGTGTTATTAAACTGTGGGAGTTTTGAAAAAGCCCTGATGGTTAGGTGTTAGGCTTCTAACTGTAAGACTGGCAGTTCAAACCCAGCAGCTGCTACCCAGATGAACGATGAGGCTGTCTGCTCCTGTCAAGATTTACACAAGGTCATTATGAGTTGGATTCATCTCTTGGTTTTGTAGGTGGGAGTTTTGAGAGTGGAGAAATCAGTTCTTGATTAGGCCAACTTTTCTTGTACTATCACTCAGTGCTTTTTGTTTTCACTGTATTGATGTGAGTTTAGGCCCTCATTTTGTTATGTTCATGGTGGTTATGTGCCATAGAGTCATCTTTTTCCCACAGAACAGCTGAAAGATTTGAACTGCTAACTTTGCGGTTAGCAGCCCAGCTCACTCATAATCCAATACACTACCAGAGCTCCTTGTTATGACTGTTGTTGTTGTTAAGTGCCGTCGAGTCGGTTCCGACCCATAGCGACCCTGTACAGGGTTTCCGAGGCTGTAAATCCTTACGGGAGTAGAAAGCCTCATCTTTCTCCCGCGGAACGGCTGGTAGTTTCGAACCGTTGACCTTAAGGTTCACAGCCCGATTCGTAACCACTACGCTACCAGAGCTCCTTGTTATGACTGTAGCATTACAATAATCAGATAATCCTTGGTCCCAGAGGAAGCTGTTTGCAGTTCTGCTTCCATGCACTTGATCACGCATTCTCCTTATATGAAATGTGCTCCACCTTCTAGAAGCTTGCCCCAAACAAACAGAACCACTGACTGCAAAAGAAGCATATAATTCAGGACAAAGAAGGAAAATTTAAAGCTCATTTGAATTTAATTAAAAAAGATATCACAGTCTTAAAGGCAGAGCAGACTTCTATGATCAACAGACCAAAGAAGAAAGAATTCTAGGATCATTAAAACTGAGATTGCCCATCTCCTATTTCAAAATATTTTTTAGTCAAAAAATAAGCATAAGGAAACGCGACAGACTACTGGCAGAAAGACAGCAACATGAAGAAGTGTTAGCATTAGAGAGAATATATACTACAAAGGCCCAGTCAAGGAGGACCAATATCCTACAGGACTTTATCCCTTACAGAAATACGGAGGAAAAAAAAATGGTGAAGATTTCTCAAGCTGAAAAGACATACAAACTTCAAGGGGCTACAAGTGTTCTAAGCAAGATGAGAAAAAAGATCTACATTTTGGCATGTGCTTGTTAAATTTCAGGATACCAAGAATAAGATTTTAAAGGTTTCCAGAATAAAAACTTTATGGTCACTTTCAAGTAATGAAAATCAGACTAGCATCAAAGGTCTCATGAGTAAAACGGGACACTAGAAGACAATGGTGCTTTTAAACTTCTCAGAGAGAGGATTTCCAAAATCATCTAAATCCAGGCATTCCTTGGAGATAGCAAGGACAACCAAAATAAAGCAAAATCACAAGAAACCAAGTTGCATGAATTTTTTTGCTTGCCCAATACATAATAAAATTATATTTACAAATGCTGGCGAGGATGTGGAGAGACTGGGACACACCAACATTGCTGGTGGGATTGTAAAATTGTTCAAACACTCTGGAAAATGGTTTGGTGCTTCCTTAGAAAGTTGGCAATGGAAATACCTTACGATCCAGCAGTTCCTCTATATGAGCCAGAAAATGAGTAGATATATGCACACCAATGTTTATCACAGCACTATTCACAGTAGCAAAAAGATGGAGACAGCCTAAGTACCCATCAACGGAAGAATGGATAAACAAACTGTGGTACATACACACAATGGAATATTATGCTACCTTGAAGAATAACAAAGAGGCTGCAAGCCACTGCATAACATGGATGAAACTTGAGGACATTGTTGTTGTTGTTAAGTGCTGTCAAGTTGGTTCTGACCCATAGAGACCCTGTATAGGGTTTCCGAGGAGTAGCTGGTGAGCTTGAACCACTGACCCTGCAGTTCAAATGGCTTTGCAATCTGGCGCATTAACCCACAGCGCCACACCAGGACTCACAAAAGGACAAGTATTGCATTAGACAATTATTGTAAAAGCTTAAGAAAAGATTTCCATACTAAAAGAAAAATGACTTGATGGTTACCAAGGGTGGAAGGGAGGAGACAGTAAGGCACAGGTTAGGGGATAGACACATGATAGCTCTGGCGACAGGGAGGGCACTATACAAGGAGGGGGAAGGTAATGGACAAGAAAGGGGAAGAGGGGAGATGAACAAGGAAGATAGGGGGAAGATTTACGGAGGTATGCATAGGCCAAATGGGATAGACGTAAATAGTGATGTACACTCAACCTTGGAACAACAGGGCTCTGTATTGCAGAGATCAAGACATAATCTGAATGGGTAAAGGAGGTGAAATAATTTTATGGTATTTGACTGTCTTATGGATATTGGTTTCCCCTGCCTACTATTGTAAAATAAACATTTAAGTGGGATAGAAAGGAATATTGGGAAAGATGGTTCCAGAAAGCTTATAAACCTGTCTTCAGCCTATAACTGATTGGATTAGCTAAAAGGGGCACTGGTATTTGTCCAGGGAAATAGGCTTCTTGTTAAGCCTTTGTGGAGTATGAGACCTTAGGTGGAATCCTGAGCCCCGCCCCAAACCTTTTGAAGTGGGACATTCCCACTTTAAGGAACACACAGACCAACACAGAGTGGCTAGAGGAACAGAAAATACTTCCTAAAGGAAAGACTATCAGGGGAGAAAAAAAGCAGATTGTTTGGCTATTACAAGATCAAGCAAACTATTTGCCTTGGAGCCATCGAGGCAAGAAAAGTCAGCCCATCAGGGTAAATCCCCTTTCAAGACTGAAACTCAAAGGGACAACATAAGCAGGTGTGCAAGCTCACTGGTGACTGGTTACCTGAGTGGAAGTAGGGGAAATGCAGCAATGAAGACATGGGCTGAGTCTGGCTATGTTCCATAGACACCCATCAACCTTGTGATGAGGGAGAGAAGACGAAGGGCTGGCTGGTCTGAAGTTTAGGGAGCCTTGTGAACTCCAGATAACTGACCTAGAATTGAGAGTGAAGGGGGCCAGCTAGTCTGAAGGAGGTGGAGGTATGCAAGAGTACCCAAACTTGCATTTGATCTAGCATAGATGGCTTGCTGATGAGAACTCAAACAGATGAAGATAAAGATGTTTGATACAGGAAGCAAGAATAAATTGCTACAACTTGATGAACTGGACCTTTGCTTATGGATGTAGTTACTCAAAATTCCAAGTGGAAGGGAACAAGCCTGTCCCCTCAGTACACTGGGTTGATAGTGATGAGCAACACAAACATCGGCTATACCAAAAATGGGGGGCTATAAAGAAAAGCACAAAATGTCTGACTTACAAACTTTTAAGAATGTGCTCAGTTTCATAATGAGAAGGGTAGGGAAGAATCCCCACTGAATAGTTTTCCTCTTGTCCAGATGGGTCTGGTGAAAGGGAATGGGGAGGATGGGAACAGGAGTCTTTTGATTCAGTAGTGAGTAATTGTTATCATGACTAATTGAGATAGTCACAACTGTAAATGTAGAAGATGTGAAACTAAAAGAGGGGAATAGTTACTATTTCACTTCAGGAAGAGGACCCTAGGACCACCAAGAGGGGAAAGCATGAGTGGAGCGCAGGAGCCTAACCAGAAATGCGGCCACAGCAGAGACAGAGCAGCTGAGGACTCTAGACCTATGGACTGAGAAAGGCTGTGTGCTTGTGGGCAGGAGGTTTTAAAATGTGCCTTTTGGACATTTAAGTAAATATATACTTTCTGTGTCTTTTATGTGTATCCAAAAAAAAAAGGGCAAAGAGGTAAATACTGTTAACTCATGGTGGGTGCAGTCATTGCAAGGAGGGGATTATAATCATTGCAATGAAACAAAATATGATTTGTTGAATGTAAAACTTATGATCTGCCCTATAAACTATCATTCAACTCACAATAAAAGCTTTAAAAAACAAAACAAAAAACTGAGATAAAAAACATATAGTCATTTCCCATAGAGCAGGGGTGGGGAATGTCTGGCCTGTGGGCTGTATAAGGCCTACAAATCATTTTTTAAAAATGTTATAGTTACACTATACTGCAGTCTATTAGGTGTGCATCAGCATTATGAAAAAGTCTGAAGTATAATGAGTGTAAGAAATAAGAAAGAGACGAGGAGAGAAACTTGGCTTCAACAGCAAGCAGGTTTATTGAGAGTAAACCTGGAGGTACTCAAACTCACAAGAGA